TAATAATGAATAAAAGAAAAGGAATAACAAACTAAAACAATAATAGAAATAATTAAATGAATAAAATTAATAATTTTGTTTAATGAATACGAAGTATAATAGATGCTAACGAGTTATATGTACTTTAAAAATTATAAATCAGTGTTAATTATTGATTTGATTTATAGCTACAGTTATAGAGTTTTTTAATTTTCTTTTTTTTTAGTTTTATTTTATGCTTCACTCTATATATTTTCTGTATAAGTGATTAAAACATAATTATAAAACAATACGGTGTAGGTAATTCAATTGATTACTATATCAAGTAATACTGAAACCAATTTCATAAACCAATATATTTTTCAAAAAAATAATTTAAATTATAAACATAACGCAAAGAGATTTACAAGTTATGAACAGAAATAAACACATTTTATCGTATTTGTTACTTTAAGTATAGGGTAATTGATTATGAAATGTCACAATGAATAACGCATTCTTTATCAATTTGTGTCAAATTATTCACACATTCTAGAAAATTCAACACCTTAACAATAATTATTACTTATTTCTTGTAAATATACTCGGATATTTATTTTTAAAGATGTTTAAATAACAAAGAGATTTTTATACATGAAGAAAAATAAAGAACAAAACACAAGCACGGGTAAAGTTTAACTAAATTATTTTTTTTTTTTGATAAATAGGAAACATTTTATTTCTAATGGTCATAATACGTTTGTTCATAATAAAAACAGTGTCATGTCAAAAAGACTCAAAAACCGATAAACCGTAGTGATGATAAATAATTTTTTAATCATATGTATATTTAAATAGAATATTTCATGTGTATTATTTTCTTCAAATACCATTTATTTTTTTTCAGAACAAAGTTAAATAAACAACACCAGTAATACTTTATTAATATATTATTAATTATAAAATGAAAAGATGTTTGTATGGCTTCAATTTTTGAAACATATTCCATGTAAAATAATTACATTATAATAATATCAAAAAGAAGAAAAATAACTAACTATCTTTTTAGGTAATACAATTTTGTCCAAGAGAATAGACAAAGTAATAAAAACGGTCCAAAGAATATATAAAAGTATGAATCTAATGTTACATAACTAGACAACCAAAAATCATAAAACAATGTTCAAAACAAAGATAACGCAAACTTTGAAACAACTAAAGAATATGAAAGAGTTTAACAAGAATGTTATTACATAAAAATAAAAATAACGTTAATTTAGAATTAAGAATATTGTCGTTATACTATTTTTACATAAATTTTCTGGGTGTATGAAAAATCACTGAAAAGAATTTTATGTCATTAGAATTAATATACAAATAATCAACTGGACATTTTCATTTTTATATATTAATGAAATGATAAATCCATATAAACATACCAAATATTAGTTGTGTATTTAACAATCAACCTTCTGAATGTTTTAAGATAAACCAGTTGCTAATACATTATTTTAGTTCATTCCATTTTCAATATAATATTTAATACCTGGTGCCAATGATCAAAAAGATATTTATAAAACAAGAAAAAATACTGTCGGTAATTTTTAATTACCCTATTATCTACATTAACACGAATAAAACCAACAATTAAATATTATTTGAATAATTTTATGTTTAAATATTTGAGGTACATCATCTCATATAATATTTAATAATATCTGTGAATATTTCAAATACCTTCATCACATTGAATATATTAACAGAATATGAATAAATGTTAGAAGAACTGTTGTAATATTTATAACTTCTTATATCAAGTAAACTATACCAAGAACTTTTCAAAAGTGAATGAAAATATTTCAGATTTACTTTTTGGATAATACCAAAATATGGTTATTATTAATAAAGATTAATTCATTTTTAGGTTATTAACTATTAATAAAAAGTAAGAAATATATGCTTAAACTTTATCAATATTATCTTTTTCAATTTCATGATACTATTCACATTCATTAATAATGTTCAATTCAAACAAGAACGAATAAATCTAATCAAATACAAGAATTACTTGAATTTTTACCGTTTTACTTTTCTTGGCTCATACAAATATAAACCTATAAACTTTCTTGCTCTTTTCTTACAGATAAGAGATGGTTATATAAATAACATGCTATAAAATTTCAATATCATATTTACTTTATTTCTTTGTTATTATTAAACTTATTTCAACATTCTTCCCACCATAGCAATATGCTCATAAAACTTGAACTTTATCCAAAAATTAATTAAGCAAAAATAATAAAAGTTCTTATATTCTAAACACTTAGAACAAAACAATAAATGAGATATTGATATACATTACCAATAATAAGAAAATATCTTTGTTAGATATATTAAAATATATCTAAATAGTAACTCTAAATAGAACCATTCATTCTTCAATTATTTATTAAATACTACTCCATTTTTATTTAGTCATAAATCATTTTCACCTACAACTATTTAACGAAATAAAAAATAAAATAGAAAGATAAACTCTTTTTTATTCTTTTTTATTGATAATATACCAACAAATAACCCATAAACCATAATAATTGTGTCGTACAATTAATGATTTGTTTGCATTATCTCCATTTAACAAATAATATTGTATTTTTATAGAATATGTTAAGTTAATAGTTTAAATTTAATGTTTAATGTGAATCTTTTCAAAATATTATTACCAAAATTTTCATTTTATTAATCATTTTATCATAACATCGTCCTATTCACATAATGTTTGTTACAACAAATAATATTTTTCTATTAATATTTATATATTACTGTAATATTACTAGTCCTCATTCTTACCTCGTATCGAACTCTTTTTAGTAATAAAGAACAACTGAAGTTTTATTCTTATCAGTTACCGTTATACTGTTAGTTTAAAAAATTTAACACCTTTAATTTTTTACTATATGCCACAAAAAATGGTGTAAGCACTGTGAATATATAAGTAAAACGTGAATTGAGTTGTTATTGATTAATAAAAAGATTATGTGTCGCACAGTTTTCTTTAACTCCATTTTATTACTCATTTTCATCTTTTATTACGACATAACCAATTAATAATAAAAATAAATTATTTATCATTTTAATACCTCAGAAGAAATAGTAATGAAATTAATTTTCTTACTTTTAATTTTAAGATCCTCTTTTTTTCTTGGTATTTTGAATAATTTTATACATAGCCAAATATAAAGGAATAATAGAACTAATAAAATAACAAAGAAGAATAAAACATGATCAGAGCTGCTCATGCAAAGTCCACAGAAAAAAAGAACGTCCATGAAGAATATATCTTTGGACAGTGGGGGTTATTAATAAAATATGTTATTTTAAAGGGTGGAAAGGTTGAGATTTTATGTCCAAAAAGAAAACATAAAATTGATAAGAGAAACCAACTTGATATTAGTTTTGTTGAAGTACAAGGTCAGTGTTGTTATAAGGCTGAAGATATTTTTCAAGATGTACTTTCTCATGTCAAACAACTCTGTGAAAAAGGACAACTTAAGAAACGGGATAAAGCAAGAACTGTGAGGAAAATTGTTCATGATACATTAATGAACAAATTAGCACAATGGTGCCATGATAAAAGTGAAAATGAAGGTATTAAAATGAAATATAGATATGGCAAACCTTCAAATAAAAAGAAAGAAAAAGAAAGAAATCTTGTCATTTATGAAATTGTGTTTAATGGAAGAACTTATGAAAGAAATGATATCAGGCATTATTTTGGAAATTGGATGCAAAGTGTTCTCAATTTTCTTCTTAAAGAAACCAAAGAAAAATCTATTACAATATCTTCAAATACTCTTCCCCCAGAATTTCGTAATAATTTTATTACCCCTGATTATGAAGAAAATGAAAATGAAGTTATAAATATTAATGAATTTGAATTTATCAATAATTCACCTTGTGGTTGTGAAGAAAATGAAAATGAAGCTACAAATATCAATGAAATTGAATCTGTCAATAATTCACCTAGTGGCTGTGAAGAAAATATTTCTACTGTTGGTTTACAAAACTTTTGCCCTCCACAACAAATATATAGCTCAACCTGTCTTCAACCTATCAGAAATTGGTCTCATGACATTATGCAATGCATCCCTATTCAAATATACGGTCAATACTACTACCTCCCTCATACTAATTTTAGTATCATTGGAACACAATGCATACCTTATAACTTACAATAAGAAACTACTAAATGAGTACAGGTCTTAGTGAATGTGTTAAATAAAAACTTTAAAAATTTAATCATTAACACTGTTAAATTTCTGTTTTGTTTTTTTTATTGAATAAAAAACAGACTTTTACAACAGTACACAATCTTTGTTTTATTCATTTGCTATTTTTGTCAATTTAAAAAAAAATGTTGTTATTATTAAAACACTAAAGCAGGGGGTAACCATTGTAATCGAACCAAAAAGTTCAGTGGAATGTTTCATAAAAATTTGATTCCCCTCTCTTAAGTTTTTATTCTATTTATAAATGAAAGTCTTTTTTATTATTCATTTATTTGTAAGTTACAATTATAATAAAATCTTATTCCTAAAACAAATATTCTCAGATGGTAAAAAGTTATTTTATTTTCATTTCTACAATACTTTTTTGAATGACTAACTTGGCTAATTATAAATATAGAAATTTGAGGTGTGTAATACTTGTTTCTTTTTAAAAATAAAAAATAAACCAAAATTATATTTACAA